ACAAAAAACCCCTCAAGACAGGCTTGGGCATTACTTGATATGCCCGTAACATGGTTGTGCCCAGGCCCAGTCATGGGGGTTATGCCAAGACCTAGGCCAAAGTGTACCCAGTGTGAGTCTGGCCCATTGCCACTTCTATTGACAAAAATTGATTCACTGAATTCGCTAATGCAACCCGAGTTAGACTTTTTATTAGGAAACAGAAACATAATTTATTAGAAGGTTATATTAAACCTTTTGAATGTTATGGGTGAGCAAATCTAAGTTTGAAGTTGATGCACTGCCAATATTGTTCATCAATTTACTAGTTAAAAACAACACCAAAGGTGCAGCGAAGCCATCACCAACGGCCGGCTCCGATGAATCCCAAAGCCATTAATTAACAACGTATCCACACCGTCTGCATGCATTAAAATGGATCTTATAACCCCTCTTCTTTTTCATCATCATATCTCCACCTCTTTCACTACTCAATTTCACACAAAATCAAAAACCAAGAAGGTCACACAGGTCAATGATATTTGTATTGAAGTTTGGTGACAACCATGTGCTAAGGATTGAACACCATTGTTGACATAAACTAATTGTTAGTTCCTTCTGATTTCATCGTTAATATCTCACAGGTTTATGAGATACTGTCTACTACACGATGATAACATGCTTGTTAATTAGTTCAAATAAGTTGATTTAATCAGTGCGAATGGAAATGATTTAGATAGAAAAGCAAGCCCACCACCGTCATAACTCTATATAAAGTTAAAGAAAATATCATCTCAAAAATACTAGGGTGACAATTTCTTCTTATAAACTTTTACAAACTTTCTTTCATGATCTGGACGTAACAGTTTGTGATTGGTCAGTTTACAAATTATCAAGCGGGATCCATTTACGAGCTGACCATTCGATAATTACCACGTCATGATTGTGATAGAAAGTTTATAAAAATAGATTGTGGACGTTAGGGGTGTTCAGTTCCGGGTATCCTGTATTTTTTGAAGGAACCGGAATCAGAATCGGAATCAGAACCGAAGGTTCCGGTTCCTAGGTACCCAGAACTGGAACATGTAACAACGGTTCCGGTTCCGGTTCCGGTTCTGGGTACCCAGTAAAATTACATGACCCCCCAAAAGTTTTTAAAATGGCCAAAAAAATTTAAAAACTTACAAATACCCCCCCACCTGGAACTTGTTAACAAAAATAAAATTACAAATTATAAATTCAAAATTACAAACTCCATTACTTTATAAAGATAGATTCTCTAAAGTCAAACCAACTTACTTTAAATGTTATAAAATATAAATATAAATGTATTCACATTACTTTTTCTACAAAAACTTTTATTAACCTCCTACTCTTTTTATATTAGTCTCGGTTCCTGATTCTGATTCCTAACTATAAGAACCAGAGACGGAACCGCATAGTAATGATTCTAAAAATTTGGAACTGGAACCTACCCGTTGACGACTGGTTCTGGGTAGAAACCGAAACCAAATCCTGGGTACTCGCTAGTTTCGTTTCAATCGGTTCTTTTAAACATCCCTAATAGACGTAGTATTACTCTATCTTCAATTATATAAAGAGGACCAGGATCTACGAAAATATTCTTTTTCATTTTCTCTTTGTTGTAAAGCAAGCCTTATATCGTATAAAGCTCAAGAAATGCCAACCCACCACCGTTATTTATGTAGAGTTAAAGAAAATTTTGTCACTTGTATCAATCCCTTAATACATTCAGATGAAGCTTTTCCGATTATTACAAATATAAAATCGAGACTAAAATCTTCTTACTGAGTAAACCCAAAAAGGAAACAAAAATTTAAATTTGATTGATCGTTGAATGAGTATTAGTATCTGGTCTCCTTTGGAGGTTAACTAAGGAGTAGTNTGGTGAGGTTTTTAACGAAGCAATAGTTGTTGTAATATCTTATTTTATTTTTTGATAAATGAATAAGTCTAATTTTTCTTATATTACAATTTTATTGTATTAAAATTGAATTAATATTTGAAATGTTAACCAAAAAAAAAAAAAATAATAATTGAATTGAATTATTGATATTTGAAAAGTTAATTAAAAACAATTACATTTATAATTGATTCATTTATAAGTTGTTAATTAATTATTTGAAAAGTTAAACAAAAAGAATGAAAAAATCGGGCTAACCCGGCCCGGACCGCCGCCTAACCCGACGGGTTAGGGTTGGCGGGCCAGCCATTTCCCCCAAAATGGCAGGCCTAACCCGGCCTGCCTTTATTGGTGGGCTGGTTAGGCCCGCCCGCCAAAGTTTGTAACCCACCGCGGGCCGGGTCGGGTCGGGCCGGCGGATTACTTTTCCACCTTTACTTCTACCCGTACCTGGCCTAACCCGTTTTCTAACGGGTTAAGCAGGTACACCTGTGGGTGCCCGCGGGCACCCATTTGTTTTTACCCTTTTCATTTTGAAGGGATACCCTAAATTCTAAATTGGGGTTTGGCCATGATTTTCCCCCAAATCGCAAAATCCCTAACTCTCTCAAACTCATCGTCGCCACTTCTCCTCTCAAACTCATCATCGGCATTTCTCCTGTCTTCGTTTTGCTTCCCCTCTGTCACAGTCGTCCCTTCTTCGTTAACTTCTCGCGCCTTTTTTTGTGACCCAGATTCGCCGTCGTCGTTTTGTCCCAGTTTCCTCTTCTCTTGCTCTATTCTTTTACCTTCAGACATCTTCGATAGTTGTGTATAATCTGAGGTGTATTTTTGTAAGTCTCTTGTATTATATTTGTGAAGAGAGAGGCGGAACTCAGAAGTTGATATTCGTGGTAGTGATCAGTGATGAGGCAGGGGCAGCAGGTGGCATGTGGGACGTGGGGAGTGGAAGTGGAGGTGATTAAAGTCAAAGTTAGGTTTTAGTTGGGATGAAGACTGAAGAGTGGAGAATCTACGGTAGAAATTTCAAAAACTAAACAGTAAAAGAGGATACTCAGATCTGTTCAATCTTTGCTTGTTTGTAGAGTCAATTCATTCTCAAACTGTTGCTTTTCTTCTGTAAATTTTTTATTTTTTTAGATTTTTTTATGTGGGTTTATTTGGTTGATGAGGAATGAAAGGATAATCAATAAAGTTTTTTAATCTTTTTCTTTGTTAGGTTATGGGTTTCTGTTTGGCTAGTGAGAAAACTTGGGAGAAAACGTGGGTTTCTTTTTTCTGTTTAGTTGGTGACAAATTTTGCTCAAAAATGAAGATTTTAGGAAGATTTGGAGTGTAACTGCAAAAATTAAAACTGAAGTGAACAGTACGGGCACCCGTGGGTCCACCCATACCCGTATAGGGTAGGATGCGGGTCCAAAATATTAGGCCCGTTTAAATCGACCTGTTTTAGGCCCGTACCCATGAGACCCAACCCGTACTCGGCCCACCCGCCTGTTTTGCCAGGTCTAATGTCAATCAAGTAAAAAACACAAAAGCTTTTAAAGTGGTTCAGTAAGTTTGAATCTTTAGTCTATATCCACTGTTTTTCTTATTACTTAGAGAGCTTAGAAGAAAATAATATTATGCCTAAAATAATTTGGTAACGATCTTTTCTATTGTTGGAAGGGGTTTATATACAAGTTTTTTTACAAAGGAAAGAGCGAAATTAAAGAATTACAATCAAGATTAAAGTTCAACTCCAATATTATTGCGATTAAGATCTAAGATCGCATTATCATTACTATTGTTTTGATCTCTTCCAACGTATCCATTATTTGAGCTTATCTATGATCTGTTCGAACAACTGTCAAGATTGATCACGGCTAGCTTATGCTAGGCCGATCTATATCTTGAAAAGCTTATGCTAGGTCAGATAATTGTTGAGTCGAACTGATTCTGGGTCAAACTACAACCTCGCAGAACTCCAACTTTTCTGAGCTTAACAGAAAAATCACACACAACAGTATACATGTGCCTTTTGTCTTTATATAATTTCTTCCAAAATGACTCTTGTCGATGCAAACAAAACTAAAAATTATTATTCTCTAATTATTTTTCTAATATCGCCTTCGAGGCGTACAAAGATGGAGTAATGCTTTTTTTTTTTTTTTTTTTTTTCAGATGTTCTTGCTGATCCAACAGCCCAGCCTTAGCCAAGCCTTGCTTACCCCCAAAGTGACTAAGCTTTCAAGGGCCGAAGAGAAATCGTTGATGGTTTGGTTTCACCAACAATGAATAAACAGTCTTATAGAAGTTGCCTGTTCCGCAATTGTTCCAGCCTTGTTGTACTCTGCTGCCATCTCCTTGCTAAATCATCACAGCTCTTCCAAATCTTCAAGGAATCACCAGAAGCAGAGCATGGGAATATAACAATGGTTAACCTCCATGACATCAGGAATCCTACCACATAGCTTCCAATAATGTTGCAGCATTGGCAAAAATTTTGGGAGCTGTCACAGATTCAGAGAGTTAATTCGTCACATATTTCAAATAGTTCTCTCATACATTGGCATTTTTGCTAGTCGGGAGCAAATAGGACCACTAGATGCTTCATCTTTATCAAACCATCCAACTTCAAAAGTGAGTATCTTTGAAAGCATCCTCTCTCTGATCCTCTTGGTTAAGCGTTCACCCATGTAATAAAAATTGTAATGTTGGCATAAATTAACCAATGAAGTGAACACTGCTAACTTTCTCTTTAATCTCATCAGTGATCTTTTAAGAAAAAAACATTTACCGTAGACCCAGATAAAGGAAAAACAGGTTGCACAGCACGGACAAGATTGCATTAAACAACCCAAGCTTGCTTGCTTCTGTTCTGGTAGATTCAACGTGAAATCTTCTAAACATGGCGCTGGCAACTTGATCTTGTAGTCATCTGCCTTGCTCTTCTTAGATCATCATCATCATCATCTCTTCTGGGGTTTAAATCCAGCTTGATTTGAAAGATGAGCCATTCAGGATGAAGAAGTAGGTTTATCAACACAGTCTCGTCTGGGTTATTAACTTAGCTCTTTTTCAGTTTGTTGAGAAGGTAGTCCCTTCGCTTCATGCCTTATTCACCCGTTCCTGGTGGAGCACATCTCTACATGAATAGAATATTGAACAAGTTATATAAATCTTCATGAATGCTGAGTAAGGTACACATATTCCTGGTGTGGAATTACGGTTGCTGGGTCCAGAGCAATAGCAAAAAGAACATTGTCCTCTGCCAGTTTATTCTCTTTCAACTCCTTAATTTCAGCACCAAAGCTGAAATTGAATAAATAGACTTTGAGAAAAAGAGCAAAGTGGAAACAACGTAGAAGCAACTCTAGGCATCCTCTGTAAACTATATTTCAGACACTTAAGACTCCCTTAAAGCCCAGCTCTAAGTGTTATAGAACCATTCTTCAATGATTCTCAGCAGAAACTCTTACATGCAATAAATACTGCATAAACACTACAGACAGAAACTAAAACATAACAGAAACTTTATTTTATAAAAAGCATCTGAGTGGAATCTATAAAATTCAAGCTGAAATTCTAGCTTCTAATAAGTAATAACACACAAAAACTTTTAAATCAACTGTCACTTATCTTATAATAGTTAACAGGGAAAAGGCAAATAGAGTGTAAGAACCAGAGATACTATATCAACATTGTGCTCTGAAAATCTTAATAGATTAACCCCATAGATGCAATGATCAGAAGCAAAATACTTCCCACAATTGTCACATAAACTCCAGCAGTTTGACATTTATCCTCTAAACATTCAATGTAAGTCGCAAACAAAGCTGATCAACACGCTGTTTCCTCATATTTAAATGTCACCATTGTTGAAAATTTGACAAGCCTGATGACAAAAAGAAGCAAAACCTAACCAACGGGAGGATATGCAACAGTTTGGATCCATGAAGATTTTCAAAAAAAGCGACTTTGAACAGGTTTAGTGGTTATGAAACCAGAAGAAGAAAGGCACAGAGTAATATCACAAATTAGAAATCAATCATTATCGGTTGCTCAATGAGATTTTCACACAAAAGCGATGCAGGCAAACAAATAATATTTCCATGCTCTGAAAATATTTTTGAAACCACACAATGTGAAACTTTACATCAGAAAATCACTTCAACAGTAAGCAAATATTTGAGTAAGCACATAATACCAACAAAAACTTTAACTTGCTATACGATTCAACTTACATTTGGTGCTCAAGTTTCTTGAATCTGTCGCTTGAAGTAGAAACTGCGATGATCAAGCGATTGTAATGGTTTTCAGCATATTTCACACCAAACCTGTGAAAATCTGAAACAACGCCGAGTCCATTCATCTTGCTTATGCTTCAGACGAGTTAACGATAACTGGTTGCAGAGCTGGGATTTTTGCACAATATGTCCATATATCAAGACACATGATCACCATACAAAACGCTCAACACACCTTAAATTTAGAGCTGCAACTACAACAGAAATCAGGGAGAGAGTAAGAAAAGAAAATCAATCTCAGGCAAAGGGAAACAAATTGTAATTCCGAAATCAGATATATTACAAACCATTAAAGTAATCCTTATATAATACAAACCATTAAAGTCTTTGATATTATCAATCAGCTTATATACATCGAGTACCAGAACAAAACTTCTTTGATTACAGGTTATTTAAGAACACCTAGTCAAGATAATAACGAAGAGGGGGGGGGAGAGAAACAGAAGAAGAAGAACTATACACGTTTTACGTACGTTTTACTCTCATCACGCGAGCGGAATCACTGCAAGGACCAATCTTGATCAGAAATAACTTTCCTAAGAAAAAAGATCTAGAGCAAATCGCTTATGCTATGATATTTTCAACAATACCAATATTCTCACAACGCTCGAAGCAATGATTTTGAAACTCAGCCAGAAGATCTGGTACTCCCACGTAAAGTCAGTAACACTAAAATGAAAAAGGGCAAAAGGCATTTAGTTACCATAAAATCTAGAAATGACAACTGGCCCACTCTTACTATGTAAAGTTAAAAGTGGAATTCCGTGACCCGTTGGAGCACCTCTGTGAACCGTGTCTGACGAGGTCACGATGATGCTGTTGCTCGTATTCTTAAATTCACCATCACCGTCTGTGGCACGGCTGCAAAACAACGTTCTTATATCTCCATCAGTCAGACGTTTTCAGGATTCGACGGTCCCTACCCGGTTGATTGAGACTGCTACGTCGGCGGCATGGTGATCAGCGTGCGCCAGCATCCTAATGTACCTCTAGTGGCGAATATCCGCATGTCGTGGATTCCAGCGGATGGTTTAGGATATGGTACGAACCTTGTGAAATCTCAGGGATTGGTTGTCATGATTGACGCAGATTTAGCAGAGTGTGGTATAGCAGTAGTTCTAGACGCCTAAACGTTGAGGGAATAATACCACACTAAGGATTCATTGACAGTGGATCGGACGAAAACGTATGCAAAATTACACAAACTAGTGATCTCATGACAAGTGGACTCAGAATCGACTGATGATATTAAAGCATAACAGCAATAATATAAATGTATGTCAGTTAGGACTAGACCTCGTTTTTTCCTGGCCGGGTTAGGCGGTCAACCACTAACCCGGCCTGCACTGAAGAGGGTTCAAACCCTGGACCGCTACATATGGCGGGCCGGTTGAACCCAATCATCAACAACCTGGGCGGACCGGTTGGTATATGGCACCACCACAACAACGGGTTGCTTTTTTTTTTTGTTTCAATAGCCAACCCGGGTTGGCAACAAAAACAAATTAAAAACATCAAAGTATTTTTTCAAGTTTCTCATTTTTTAGTTCTTTAATTAAACATTATGATCTGATTCTTACAATAATTTTACACAATAATATAAACTATACTTCTAAATATATATTAAAATGTATAAACCTTCGTAATGATTGACACATTATTATTATGATTTTTTTATGGTACGTAAATATAAAAACATGAAATACTAGAAGTCGCTTATTCTACAATTTACATGTCTGTGTATACAATTAATTCATCTTATGCTGAAAGTGTCATCAATGAATGAATAATTTGTCAATGGGGAGATCCTAGTGACACACCCACATATTAGTTGTTTGTACAATGTAATTTGTAAATTAGTTGTCCAATTATGCATTCTTTTTACTTACAAGGTTTTCTCCATGCGGTTTTCTTGGTGCATGACCTGCCCTTTGTCTAATACAGCAATGAGATCACAATTTTGTATAGTACTTAATCTATGTGCTACCACTACAGTGGTTCTTCCAATCATCATGTGCTCAAGCGCATCTTGCACTAGTTTCTCTGATTGACTATCGAGCGCACTAGTTGCTTCATCTAGTAATACTGTAGCTTTTTTCAGTATTGCTCGAGCTAGCGCAATACGTTGCTTTTGACCTCCTGATAATTGTACTCCTCTTTCCCCACACCGTGTGTCATATCCGTCATTCAATCCAGCTATGAAATCATGAGCATTGGCGGCTTTAGCTGCCTCAATTATCTCAAACTCATCTATGTTGTCATCTACACCATAAATCATGAGCATTGGCGGCCCTAGCTGCCTCAATTATCCCAAACTCATCTGTGTTCATTGACCTAAATGAGTTACTCGACATCATTAATTAGCTAATTAATTAAGCTACCTTAAGCACAAGAGCTCAACATTTTTTACTTTTTTTCAACTATTTTGCATATCAGGAGTTTCATATTGCTGAGGCAACTGAGAGATGAAATTAGGAGCATTTGAAGCTTTGGCGTTTCAATAACCTCTTTCATTGTGGCATCTTCTTTGCCAAAAAGTATGTTTTCTTTAATTGTTGTTGCAAATAGTGCAGGCTCTTGGCTCACCAAACCCATTTTTGACCTGAACCATTTCAGTTGTAATTTATGAATAACAACTCCATCAAAAAGAATTTCACCTCCAAGTGGGTCACAAAACCTTTGTAATAGTGAAATTACTGTGGATTTCCCTAAGCCATTAGCACCCACTAAGGCCACTGTCTTTCCTGCTGGAACTTTTATGTTAAGATCTTTGAAGATTATGCGTCGAGGCCTTGACAGGTATGCAAATTCTACGTGTCTAAACTCAACTTCACCTGAAACATTCTCCAGAACTTGACCTTCCAAGTTGTCTGAATCAATCTTGGGAATTCTTTTTATTGCCTCCTTTACAAGTTCTCCCGCAGACATTGCTTCTGATATGGACTTCAAGCGAGATAAACCAGGTCCCAACGCCCTGATCAGCGACAAAAACATTTTTTCGTATATATATGTGTGTGTGTGTGTGTGTGTGTGTGTGTGTGTGTGTGTGATATTCTTTTTAATTGTATTTTCGTGTTTTCTGTTAAGTCAAAAGGTAATACTTACTGGCCACCAACGGCAATGGCGGCGGCCACAGCATAGACAGTTCCTCCCTTAGCACCATGGCACATGACCATTCTACCGTCGTAATAGGCTAAGAAAGACCAAATTGCATAAATGATG